CGAGCGGCACGTACGTCCGACCCACTGGACACTCTGGGGGAGTAGGGTCGGTGCGTAACGCCCGCTCAATTTCCGCATCGACCTCCCATACCACCGGTGCCACCAGACAAGACTCCGGCAGTATGGGAGTGGGCTCAATGGACCTCTCCTCTGTGTCATACCGCCGGGACAGGGCGTCTGCCTTACCGTTCTGGGACCCTGGGATGTAAGTGATCTTAAAAACGAACCGGGTCAGAAACATGTTCCACCTAGCCTGACGAGGGTTCAATCTCCTAGCTGCCCGGATGTACTCCAGGTTATGATGGTCAGTCAGAATGAGAAAAGGGTGTTGAGCCCCCTCAAGCCAATGCCTCCACACCTTTAGGGCTTGAACCACAGCTAACAGCTCCCTGTCCCCTACGTCATAATTACGTTCCGCCGGGCAGTACTGCCCCAATACCGGCCTCTGACGCGTCCACCTCTACCTGGAACGCTAAAGCGGGGTCCGGGTGCGCCAGCACCGGAGCCGAAGTGAACAGGTCCTTCAGTTTACAAAACGCCCTGTCCGCTTCAGCCGACCACTGCAAACGCACCGGGCCCCCCTTCAGCAGGGAAGTAATGGGAGCTGCCACCTGTCCAAAACCCCGGATAAACCTCCGGTAGTAATTGGCAAAACCCAAAAACTGCTGCACCTCTTTAACAGTGGTTGGGGTTTGCCAGTTACGCACGGCTGACACACGGTCAATCTCCATCTTCACCCCTGACGTGGACAACCGATGACCCAAGAAGGAGATGGACTCCTGGAAAAACAGACATTTCTCTGCCTTGACATACAAGTCATGCTCCAACAGCCTACCCAACACTCGGGCCACCAGGGCTACATGCTCGGCTCGTGTAGCAGAGTACACTAGGATGTCGTCAATGTACACTACCACTCCCTGCCCATGCAGGTCCCGGAAGATCTCGTCCACAAATGATTGGAAGACTGAAGGAGCATTCATTAACCCGTATGGCATGACAAGATACTCATAATGACCTGAGGTGGTACTAAATGCCGTCTTCCATTCATCTCCCTCCCTAATGCGCACCAAGTTATAAGCGCTCCTGAGATCCAGTTTTGTGAAGAAACTCGCTCCGCGTAATGATTCAGTCATACTCGCAATCAGAGGAAGAGGGTAACTGTATTTCACAGTGATCTGATTGAGACTACGGTAATCAATACACGGGCGCAACCCTCCATCCTTCTTCTTCACAAAAAAGAAACTCGAGGACGCAGGGGAAGTGGAGGGCCGTATGTATCCTTGTCTCAGGGACTCAGCTATGTATGTTTCCATAGCCGCCGTCTCCTCTTGAGACAGAGGATACACATGGCTCCGCGGGAGTGCCGCACCTGTCTGGAGGTTTATCGCACAATCTCCCTGTCTATGAGGTGGCAATCGCGTCGCCCTCGTCTTGCTGAACACAAGTGCCAAATCCTCATACTCAGGGGGAATGTGCATTGCGGGCACTTGGTTCGGACTCTCCACCGTGGTCGCCCCAACGGAAACACCTAAACATCGCCCAACACACTGGCCAGACCATTCCTTGAGAGCCCTCTGTTGCCACGAAATGGTGGGGTCATGGGTGATCAACCAAGGAAGCCCCAGCACCACGGGATATGCAGGAGAGTCAATTAGGTACAACTGAATAATCTCCTCATGACCCCCCTGCGTCTTCATCTTTAGTGGCGCTGTGACCTCCCTAATCAACCCAGATCCCAACGGGCGGCTATCTAGGGCATGGACAGGAAAGGGTGTATCGACGGGCAGGAGGGGAATCCCTAACTTAGAACAAAATTTCCGATCAATAAAATTCCCAGCTGCGCCTGAATCGACTAGCGCCTTATGCTGGGAATGAGATGCAACCTGAGGAAATACCACAGGTATACACAAGTGAACAACAGAGAGCTCTGGGTGAGTGGGGCGCCTACTCACCTGAAATGACTCCCCAGTGCGCGACCTGTTGCCCCGATTCCCTGGAGACCCTTCCCAGCACCTAGCCGCAGTGTGTCCTCCACGGCCACACCTGGTGCAGGGGATGGCCCCCCTCGGGTTCTCTCTCCTTCTCTCTCTAGTGCCAGCACCCCCGAGCTCCATAGGGCTCGGCTCGGAGGTGCTGGGGGATGGAATGGATGGCCCCAACTCGGGACGTCCGCGGGTGGCAAGCAGGGTATCCAGACGGATGGACATGTCCACTAGCTGGTCGAAGGACAGATTGGTGTCCCTGCAGGCCAGCTCTCGACTAACGTCCTCACGCAGGCTACACCGATAGTGGTCGATGAGGGCCCTCTCATTCCACCCCGCATCCGCCGCTAGAGTCCGGAAATCCAGGGCGAACTCCTGTGCTCTCCTCTTCCCCTGTCGGAGGTGGAACAGACGCTCCCCCGCCGCTTTACCCTCAGGAGGGTGATCGAAAACAGCCCTGAAGCGGCGGGAGAACTCCGCGTAGTTGATGGTGGCGGCGTCTATTCCCCTCCATTCGGCGTTGGCCACTCCAACGCCTTGCCGGAGAGACAGGAGATGAGGGCGGAAACGCTCTCGTATCCCGAAGGCGCTGGGTGTATGGTGGCCAGGTAGAGTTCCACCTGAAGGAGGAGCCCCTGACACCCGGCTGGGGTGCCATCATACGCCCTCGGGAGCGAGAGCCGAATTCCACTGGATTCCGGAGCTGGTCTGGTGGGGCTGGCCGATGGTGGTGGTAATGTAGGAGGAGGTGTGGGAGGAGGTGTGGGCACGCCTCCCCTTTCCCATCGGCGCAGGGTGTTCATCACCTCCTGCATGGCGGAGCCGAGTTGCTTGATCCTGGCGTCCTGGCAGCTGACCCAATCCTCCAGCGACTCGGTCGCCGCCGCTGCTCCTGCTTACTCCATAGTATGGTGTGTTGTTCTGTCAGAAGCTGATGTGGATGCGGTGTTGGAGTCAGGCGCAGGACACACAAGCTTAGTCGAAAACGACTTTAATTGTCACAAAGACAAATACAAAATAACGGGCCTCAAAACACAGGAGGCGAGTGATTACGCAGACAGTGCGTAAAACACTAACAACTAGAAAACAATAACATACACCAGCGGACAGGCGGACAACAACACACAACTGCAAACAAAACCAAAGGAAACCTATAGGTGACATAATCAATACATAATACGAAACAGGTGCACCAACAAGACAAAACCAAACAAACATAGAGAACATCAAGCGGTAGCAGCTAGTACTCCGGGGACGACGAACGCCGAAGCCTGCCCGAACAAGGAGGAGGAGCAGTCTCGGCGGAATTCGTGAAAGGTTTCGAAGGGTTAAAAAGGTTTATCTTCCCTAATGTAACATATTTGTGACCGGGGACCGTCATGACCCGACATGTGAAATTTAAAGTAAATCGACCCAAAATCGTTTTTTACCTCCATTTGACATAATGGTCTTGCAGTTCAAGAAAATAATCCTTGTTATGAATTATTGAATGAATTCTGAAGTGGATATTGGTCAGATTTTTTTAGATTAACTTGAAACTTGAAACTGTTTGTGCCTGTCTATCTGTGTCTGTGTCTGCCTGTCTGTGTTTGCCTGTCTGTGTCTGCCTGTCTGTCTGTCTGTCTGTTTGTCGGCTTGTCTGTGGAAGAGAAGAGGGAGAGATGAGAGGAGGGGGAGGCAGGGAAAGAAAGAGGGAGAGAGAATGAAGGGGGGAAGAGAGTGAAAAGGGGAGAGTGAGGGTAGGGAAGAGAGAGGGAGAGGGTGAAGTAGGGATGGGAGCGAGAGAGAGAGAGAGATGAGTGGAGGGGGAGGGAGGGAGGGAAAGAAGGTGGGAGAGAAAATGGAGTGGGAGGAGAGAGAGAGAAGGGGGAGCGTGAGAGGGGAGAAAGAGGGAGGGGGGAGAGGAGGGTGGAGGGAGAGAGAGTCAATAGACAGACAAAGGTGGGAGAGAGAGGAGGGAGAGAGAGAGAGTCAATAGACAGACAAAGGTGGGAGAGAGAGGAGGGAGAGAGAGAGAGGCAATGTATTGAGACAAATGTAAACCCTGTGACACTCATCTTTTCCCATTGACTGCAATGTATTAAAAACGTCAACCCTGTGACACTCATCTTTTCCCATTGACTGCAATGTACTGAGAAAAACATCAACCCTGTGACACTCATCTTTTCCCATTGACTGCAATGTATTGAGAAAAACAACCCTGTGACACACATTTTTTCCCATTGCAATGTATTGAGAAAAACATCAACCCTGTGACACTCAACTTTTCCCATTAACTGCATTGTATTGAGAAAAACATCAGCTGCTGTGACATTTGACCTTTTAGCAAAAAAAACGTGCCAGGATGACATTTTCAAGCTGATAATGGCCTGGAATGCTAGATCAAGCTCTATGAAGCTGTTCAATTGACTGCCCACCAGTTTGCAGCCTCTGCTTAAATAGGCTGATCTTGTCGCTGCCTCTCGTGGTACTTGGCCCTGCCTAGCGCCAGTCCTCTTGCAGAGTGTATCCAGTCATTGCGTCCCCCGGTGATTTGCCTTGTGGTAGGTCAAACTGCACTTATTAGACGAGTCTCCAATTTAAGATAACTTTCACTGCTGGCGTCTGGTGAGTAACATATCCTTGTCTTTTCGTTTTCAACAAATGTATACATTGACTGCTTGTTAAACAAAAGTAGGCTACATGTTGGTAGTTCATTGGGAGATACCACATTATTTTCTTATTGCCATAAAAGCATAGATTCTTACTTCTGTGAAAGAAAAACCTAAACAGTTCAGTTTTCTCATATTGGACTATTATGAACAGATTATGATTAATGTCATCTATAATTGTTATTTTTTATTTTATTTTATTTCATGTTTATGAAAGTATTTGTTTTTCATTCGTTTGAGCTATTCTACACTATTTCACACTTGAACCAGCTCATGGTATCTCTTTGTTTACCAATCACTCTCTCTTCCAGATTCTAGTTTGTGTCTGAGTGCTTCTGTCCTGACTGGCCAGCTCTCAGACTGCAATATGACATTTGGGATATTCCCCAAGGATGGCCTCTGTATGTCCCTCTCCGGAGTCACCGTGGCACTCTGTACCCTCACCCTGCTCCTAGTGGCTCTCAGGAGCCACATGCGAGAGGGCACGGGACGCCACAAAGGCAACCTGCCCCCGGGGCCGACCCCTTGGCCCCTGGTGGGTAACCTGTTCCAGATGGGCGACCAGATCCACCTGTCACTGACGCGTCTCCGGCTGCAGTATGGAGACGTCTTCCAGATGCGTATGGGATCCCTTGTGGTGGTGGTGCTGAGCGGCTACGCCACCATTAGGCAGGCGCTGGTTCGGCAGGGCGAGGCTTTCGCCGGACGCCCTGACCTCTTCACCTTCTCTGCCGTGGCCAATGGCACAAGCATGACCTTCAGTGAGAAGTATGGCCCCGCCTGGGTGCTCCACAAGAAGCTGTGCAAGAAAGCCCTGCGCTCCTTCTCGCAGGCAGAGCCGCGGGGTTCCGACACCACCTGTCTGCTAGAGGAGCATGTGTGCACCGAGGCAGCTGGGATGGTGGAGGCCATTTGGGAGAGCTCAAAGGGGAGCGAGGGGCTAGGTCTGGACCCTGTGGTCCCGCTGGTTTCGTCGGTGGCCAATGTGGTGTGTGCTCTGTGTTTCGGAAAGAGGTATGACTACAATGACAAGGAGTTCCTCACTATTGTGCACATCAACAATGAGGTGTTGCGGATCTTCGCTGCAGGCAACATGGCCGACTTCTTCCCTGTGTTCCGCTACCTGCCAAGCCCGTCCCTGCAGAAGATGGTCCAGCACATCAGGAGAATGAACAGCTTCATGGAACACAACATCGAGGAGCACCTGGAGACCTTTGACAAGGTTTGAGCCACACCTGGGTCATGCAAATTAGAGCATGCCAAAGAAAAAGTTTTATAACGTTTTTCAATGGAAAACAAAAATTTGTCAATTTAGTCCCTCGCTGTTTCAGTCGGTTTTCTTCTGTTTGGTACTTAATGAACAGACCCTGAAAGCAGACAGTATGATGATATTGCAATGTTGATGTTTGTTAAGATATCCAACGGATATTCAACTGTTCTACTGTTACAGCTTGATGCAGGGGTAGGATATGTTGATAGATGTGCTATTAAAACTATGGCCTAGAGGCGTATAATCTATACTGTGTATACACTGAAACAGAAAGTTGACGGTAATAGTTTTTGCAGACATCAACTTGGAGAGAAACCTCTACTTTCATGTGACATTTAGGCTGAATATGGTAGATAAGCAAACTGTTAGATTAGATATGATCTGTGCAATCAGATTCTGGTTCAGAGGCAAAGAAAACCATCCAGCCATAGAGGGATTTGTTTCAGTGCTGGAGGGATAGACAGATAGAATGAGAAGGAATAACGCAGGGGAAAAAGAAAGGATGAGATAGGATAGAGGGAGGGAGAGATAGTGTGAGCAGAGGTAGATTGGGTAAAAACGAAGGTTCCTTTTTGGAAAGCATGTTTTTGCTTGTGATTTTAGGTTGCATATGACAGGTTGTATATGACAGTAGGGAATACATTGAACAGGAAATATTGAAATAGTTGAGCTACAATATAAGAGACCTATACTCTAGGTAGGAGGACAGGCCCGACCAGGCTTATATATATCGTGTGAGGCTAAAGTGAACCTTTGTTGTTGCGCAGGGGCTAAAACGCTCGCACGCACTCTTTAATGAGGAATTATCAATCTGGTGGAAGAAACGTGCTCACATGTTTTCTAGAAGATGCTACCATTTCCTGTCAGTCTCACTCTCACAATTTGATGGTACATTTGATTGGCGGGTCGTGTATTAGGTTTTTGTGAATTTGAAAGGATTACATTTAATTAGAAATCAGTATATGGAATATGACACAGATATAACCTGGAGTGGCTAGGTTAGGACTCCCCCTGCACATGTATGGGCTTACTTAGAGAGACATAACATACAAGCCTTATTATTAGACATTATAAAGGCTCATACATCCTTATAATAAGTTATAAATATTGTTTTCACTATATATTTTACCTCTTGGGGATGTTATTCGAAAACATAATGTTAACTTTCACTGCTATGCGGATGACACACAGCTGTACATTTCAATGAAACATGGTGAAGCCCCAAAATTGCCCTTGCTAGAAGCCTGTGTTTCAGACATAAGGAAGTGGATGGCTGAAAACTTTTTACTTTTAAACTCGGACAAAACAGAGATGCTTTTTCTAGGTCCCAAGAAACAAAGAGATCTTCTGTTAAATCTGACAATTCATCTTGATGGTTGTAAAGTCGTCTCAAATAAAACTGTGAAGGACCTCGGCGTTACTCTTGACCCTGATCTCTCTTTTGACGAACATATCAAGACTGTTTCAAGGACAGCTTTTTTCCATCTACGTAACATTGCAAAAATCAGAAATTTTCTGTCCAAAAATGATGCAGAAAAATTAATCCATGCATTTGTTACTTCTAGGTTAGACTACTGCAATGCTCTATTTTCCGGCTACCCGGATAAAGCACTAAATAAACTTCAGTTAGTGCTAAATACGGCTGCTAGAATCCTGACTAGAACCAAGAAATTTGATCATATTACTCCAGTGCTAGCTTCCCTACACTGGCTTCCTGTTAAGGCAAGGGCTGATTTCAAGGTTTTACTGTTAACCTATAAAGCGTTACATGGGCTTGCTCCTACCTATCTTTCCGAGTTGGTCCTGCCGTACATACCAATACGTACGCTACGGTCACAAGACGCAGGCCTCCTAATTGTCCCTAGAATTTCTAAGCAAACAGCGGGAGGCAGGGCTTTCTCCTATAGATCTCAATTTTTATGGAACAGTCTGCCTACCCATGTGAGAGACGCAGACTCGGTCTCAACCTTTAAGTCTTTACTGAAGACTTATCTCTTCAGTAGGTCATATGATTGAGTGTAGTCTGGCCCAGGAGTGTGAAGGTGAACGGAAAGGCTCTGGAGCAACGAACAGCCCTTGCTGTCTCTGCCAGGCCGGTTCCCCTCTCCACTGGGGTTCTCTGCCTCTAACCCTGTTGCAGGGGCTGAGTCACTGGCTTGCTGGTGCTCTTTCATGCCGTCCCTGGGAGGGGTGCGTCACTTGAGTGGGTTGAGTTACTGACGTGATCTTCCTGTCTGGGTTGGTGCCCCCCCTTGGTTTGTGCTGTGGTGGAGACCTCTGTGGGCTATACTCGGCCTTGTCTCAGGATTGTAAGTTGGTGGTTGAGGATATCCCTCTAGTGGTGCGGGGGCTGTGCTTTGGCAGAGTGGGTGGGGTTATATCCTTCCTGTTTGGCCCTGTCCGGGGGTTTCTTCGGATGGGGCCACAGTGTCTCCGGACCGCTCCTGTCTCAGCCTCCAGTATTTATGCTGCAGTAGTTTATGTGTCGGGGGGCTGGGGTTAGTTGGTTATACCTGGAGTACTTCTCCTGTCTTATCCAGTGTCCTGTGTGAATTTAAGTATGCTCTCTCTAATTCTCTCGTTCTCTCTTTCTCTCTGAGAACCTGAGCCCTAGGACCATACGTCAGGACTACCGGGCATGATGACACCTTGCTGTCCCCAGTCCGCCTGGCCTTGCTGCTATTCCAGTTTCAACTGTTCTGCCTGCGGTTACGAAACCCCTACCTGTCCCAGACCTGCTGTTTTCAACTCTTAATGATCGGCTATGAAAAGCCAACTGAGAGACCTGAGCCCTAGGACCATACGTCGGGACTACCGGCCGTGGTGACTCCTTGCTGTCCCCAGTCCGCCTGGCCTTGCTGCTATTCCAGTTTCAACTGTTCTGCCTGCGGTTATGGAACCCCTACCTGTCCCAGACCTGCTGTTTTCAACTCTTAATGATCGGCTATGAAAAGCCAACTGAGATTTATTCCTGATTATTATTTGACCATGCTTGTCACTTATGAACATTTTTGAACATCTTGGCATGGTTCTGTTATAATCTTCACCCGGCACAGCCAGAAGAGGACTGGCCACCCCTCATAGCCTGGTTCCTCTCTAGGTTTCTTCCTAGGTTTTCGCCTTTCTAGGGAGTTTTTCCTAGCCACCGTGCTTCTACACCTGCATTACTAGCTGTTTGGGGTTTTAGGCTGGGTTTCTGTACAGCACTTCGAGATATTAGCTGATGTAAGAAGGGCTATATAAAATAAAATTGATTGATTGATTGATTGATTATAAAGCATTACAGCATTAAACTGTCATGGTCAAAACATATTAATGCAACAGTAGCTAAGATGGGGAGAAGTCTGTCCATAATAAAGCGCTGCTCTGCCTTCTTAACAACACTATCAACAAGGCAGGTCCTACAGGCCCTAGTTTTGTCGCACCTGGAGTACTCTCCAGTCGAGTTGCAAAGAAAAAGCCATATCTCAGACTGCCTTTCTTAATATTTTATTTTTATTGGCCAGTCTGGTCAGCATCCCGTAGTCGCCTCTTCACTGTTGATGTTGAGACTGGTGTTTTGCGGGTACTATTTAATGAAGCTGCCAGTTGAGGACCTGTGAGGCGTCTGTTTCTCAAACTAGACACTCTAATGTATTTGTCCTCTTGCTCAGTTGTGCACCAGGGCCTCCCACTCCTCTTTCTATTCTGGTTAGAGCCAGTTTACGCTGTTCTGTGAAGGGAGTAGTACACAGCATTGTACGAGATCTTCAGTTTCTTGGCAATTTCACGCGTGGAATAGCCTTCATTTCTCAGAACAAGAATAGACTGACCAGTTTCAGAAGAAGATTCTTCGTTTCTGGCCATTTTGAGCCTGTAATCGAACCCACAATTGCTGATGCTGTGCTAACATAATTGCAAAAGGGTTTTCTAATGATCAATTAGCCTTTTAAAATGATAAACTTGGATTAGCAAACACAATGTGCCATTGGAACACAGGACTGATGGTTGCTGATAATGGGCCTCTGCACGCCTATGTAGATATTCCATAAAAAATCAGCCGTTTCCAGGTACAATAGCCATTTACAACATTAACAATGTCTACACTGTATTTCTGACCAATTTGATGTTATTTTAATGGACAAAAAATTTGCATGTCAATCTCTCATGGCTCAAAGTGGAGGAGAGATTGACTTCATCACTACTTGTTTTTGTAAGAAGTGTTGACAAGCTGAATGCACCGAGCTGTCTGTTGGCAGCAGCTAATGTGGATCCCTAATAAATACAAATACAAATACAGCTGCCGGTATTAAGTAGAGTGTAAAGTAAAGTGTTAAGTAAAGCTGTGATGATGTGTATGTTTCCAGGACTGTATACGTGACATCACAGATGCTCTGATTGCGCTCTGTGAGGAGCGGCAGGAGGATGACGACACGGCAGTGCTGTCCAACTCCCAGATCATACACACTGTCATCGACATCTTTGGAGCAGGTGAGAGAGATGGAACAGAGAAGTTAGGCAATACCTGATTTGAAGCTCTGCTTATAAATAGCATATAAACACTAGGCTATTACACAGTACGTTAATTATTTACAAGAAGTTTATAAACAGACCTTGGTGCTATGGCGATTTCAGGGCTGTGGCTGTAGTATGTTTGCTGAGACTAGATTTCCTTCTGGAGGATCACCATTCCCAGCAATGATGGGTTGAACAACACGTTTGAACAGACCAACTCTAGAGCAACGACGATTGTAACTGACGTTACATATTTATTTATTTTACATTACAGGATTCGATACCATCATAGCTGGTTTACAGTGGAGCCTCTTATACCTCATCAAGTTTCCTGACAGCCAGGTCAAAATACACCAGGAGATTGGTACTGTACATCCTCTGTATATGAATTATTCCTCCTGTATGACTGAACAGTACTTTTCCTATAGAAAACTGTAATACTGTACAGTATGCCCTTATAGCACTAAATGGACTTCTTGTCTCCTTATACCTCGTCTCGTTGTACGCCTGCTTGTGTTTCTGCTTTACCTGCTAAGAATAATCACTTTGTTTTATAAAAATATGTGGGAGTTCAGCTGTTTTATGAATGAAAGTATTTCCTGTGTTGTCAAACAGCACATCCTAATGAGCAGTCTCCTACAGTACCAGCCAGTTTGACAGTTTGATGGGCCGTCTGTGTAGTTTCACACAATGATCTAATCTTTGAGAGACGGGTCGTTGTCGTCACCCCCCTCCCCCGTCCCCGTCCCCGTACCCATCCTCAATGGCTAGAGACCATTGCTCGCCATGGTAACACGCAAAAGGTCACTAATTCGCCAACGCCTGAGCTATTTTTGAAGTGGGCTGAAAAAACTGGTGCAGTCTGTTCAGTAGGCACAATTCATTCACAGAGAGAGCGAGAGAAGAGAGAGAGAGAGATTTTGGATACTTGGACAGTCTACTCTGACAGGAACAAAGGGGATCACACGCAGGGGTATTGCACCGTACGAGAATCACGCCACACAAATCATCCCCTTATTTGAGAATGGAAATTTAAGAATAGATGGCAATAAGCCAACCGTCTTTCTTTCTTCTTTGGTCTTACTTTTTCTGATCGCCTCTGTAATGTCTCTGCTCCTTTTCTCTGTATTTTCACTTTTAGGTACATTATTTAGTTGTCACTGTCTTCACCCGAGGTATTTTGTATGTGACTGTATGTTTTTGCCTTTGTCTGGTTCAGACGACCACATTGGCCCAGCCAGACTACCTCGGTTTGAGGACAAGCCCAAAATGCGTTTTACTGAGGCCTTCTTATACGAGGTGTTTCGTCACGCATCCTATGTCCCCTTCACCATACCACACTGGTGAGGCTCTGATAACAGTCACAGTAACAATTTGTAATGTTTATTTCTGCATGGTGCCTGTCTGCTAGTATGTTCAGGTCAAAGCGTTATCTCTGGGAATGTTGATATTTACATAGTCTCTTTTTTCCATGCTTTTCTTCCCTTAAGCACCACACAAAACATCACACTTAATGGATACTTCATTCCAAAGGACACCTGTGTCTTCATCAATCAGTATCAGGTTAATCATGACATGTGAGTGTTATCTGGATGTGTTTTAAAGCACACATCTTAATTTATGTTAGTCCTTTGAGGAGGTGCAGTGTTGGGGAAGTTACTCTGAAAATATAGCTGGCCAAGTTACCAATTACTTCACAATGGAAGAAGTTAAGCTAAACTAAAGCTACCGCTAAGAAATATATAGTTTACTTAACTAAAGTTACTTTAAAAAAGTAGTTCACTACATTCAAACTACTTAGTGAAAGATTATCATATCTAAATCTGAAATGTCATAGAATACAAATTGCTAGAACAAATCACTCTGGAGTCAGATTTGATTTGATTTGAGATGTTAACAGAATGTATAATTTAGCCTACTAAACACAAAAACAATATTTCAAGTGAGAATTTGACAGGTCTGATGCTGAAAAAGAAAGGAAATTATTGCCTACTTCACCCATATTTTCCTTTCTGTTTACAAAATAAGTAGTGTGTAGTTCTAGTAGTTAGCTACACTGCTACATGGCAAACAAGTTATTAACTGCTGAAAACACTACCAAGATTAGAATTTAGTTCAACTACCACCAAGCTACTGCAAAATGTAGTTTAATTACTAGTTGAACTACACGTAGTTCCCTACTCCCCAACACTGAGGAGGTGACATGACCATTTGGACATGTCAGCTCTCTCCCAATCTGTTTGAATGTGTTTGAGTCTTGGTCATGTTCACTAGGCACCAACCAGAAGTGAGGGACTGACCATCTGGACTCTGCTCATTTTCGTTTCCAAGTTACGAAACGTTTTCCTTTGTGTGCTCTAATGAACACAACCCTGTTGTGGTCGTCAATGGTTAGCTGTCATTTTCCTCATTTGTAGAGATCTGTGGGATGACCCAGACGTGTTCCGCCCCGAGCGCTTCCTGGGTAAAGAGGGACTGCTCAACAAAGACCTGACAGAGAAGGTCATGATCTTCGGGATGGGGAAAAGGCGTTGTCTGGGTGATGGGTTCGCCCGGTTGGAGATGTTTGTTTTCCTGACCACACTGCTCCACCGGCTGCGTATCGAGAACGTTCTGGGACAGGAGCTGGATCTCAGTTCCGACTTTGGGCTCACCATGAAGCCCCGCCCCTACAGGATCAGTGTCTCGTCACGCCTCTAGATCCGTCCTGTCCATTAAGCCATACAGCACCAACTACAATAAGGCCACAACTGGCTTGACTGGGCAACACCTCGCCCACATAATCATAACGCACAGAAACCATGGCTACTCAGACACCAAAACATATTTACTATACAGACTGAACACAACATCTTTACCTGGCAGTGGCGTCATTACCACTGTAAACACAAACACAGTTGCTAGCTGTCAAGAGTCAAGACAGAGTTAAGCCGATACAAAGTGTGCAATAGTATTAAGCAGCCATAACCAAGGATTTATTCAGAGCCATTTCCTCATTGGTCATCAAATGGATTGATATTTACCTAGAAGATGTTAAGATTTTAGTTGAAGTATGTTATATCCTATTGTAGATATTTAAGATAGACCTATTCTATATGTAACTTTAGCATTTTTATGATATCTCAATATACATTTAATGTTAGAATATCTATGCATATTGGAAAACGGTATTGGTACAGGGCCAGCCCCAGTATTATTTTAACTATTAGGGATGGTGATTGGTCCTTCCACCTTCATCAAGTGGAACATAATTAGAAATGCCTTTTATTAAAATCCTTATCTGTAGTTATTAATTCAACTAAACGCTTAGGGAGGGAGAGAGGAAGTGTTGTTTTAGATAACTGATCAGAGCCTTGGGCACCATGCAGCGTTCACTCAGGGTTCATTACTACTCAACTCACTCTTCCACCCCCTCCTCTTCATCTGTAACTCCGAGGTTTAAAGAGAAGATCTCCTTCCCCCTTTCTAAGTAGTTGCAAGAGCTACTCTGAGATTGAGGAGAATCACCTTTTTTTTTCATATGCTCTCCCCTCTTTCCAACAGACTAGATTAGACACAGTCTTTGGATTCCACCAGACGTCTTCCAGAGGTTAAGAGGGCAATTTTGATGCTGTGATGTTCTCTTTTATGAGATAAAACTAGTACTGAAAATACATGATAATAAGTGTTTGAATAAGATACGTTTCTTACATTATCTAAACTTGATTGCCAGTATATGTTCCAAGAAGAATTCCACAGATGTCACAGCAGTGAAGCCATTTGAGAGACATGCCCTTATTCAGACGACAGTATACCCCAATTTGAAATCAGGTGTCTTGTGAAAATGACATTTTTTCATTTGTTAGTCCTTTTTGTCTGTAAACTTAACTGTCTTTAATTTAGCATCTGAAATGTGCGACTGAGAATAAAAACTGATGGATTTTGTCTATGTGGTTATTCTTTTTTTTGTTGGTCACAATCACTGGCATTCTCTCCCGAATTAAAGGTACAATCCATAATTCGTGTTTCAGCCAAACAGCAGCCCTACCCACTTGGTTTGTTATAAAGCTGTGGGATGGGACTGGAGAAATATGACCACTTTCAAATTCATAGATTGAGATAAAAAGTATAGTTTTAAACATATTTTAAAGCTGTACACAGTTTACAAAGACTGATTCTTGAAGAATATAACTAACCCAAAATAAACATGTTTTACTCCATTGTTTGTAAAAATGTAATTGTTAACAAACATTGTATAGCTTCAAAACAACTCATGGCTGATCAGTCCTTGCATCCAAAGCTCTGCCTATGAATTTGAGTGGTTACATCTCTATCAGCACCATCCCTCAACTGTTTATCGAAACGGCCGTTTTGTTGTTTTGTTGTTTTACAAAACCAGACTGTAGATTTAATACAGTTGTATAAGCTAAAGTAATTCATAAATAATATTCTTCAAGAATCAATTCAAAGTTGAACTGGTTTCATGTTAAGGCTCCATGCCATCTCTTCCATGATAGATCCTGTTACAGTATATGCGCCATAGGATAAATTAATGAGCATGATTGGAGTGGAACATGGACTCAACTCAACTTTACACCACTTTTAAGGTGAACATATCAGAAAAATTACTCCACTCGAGTGAGAGACCTTTTCAGAAATTCAAAAGAAATTTGCCCCACCTGTTTTGAGCCCTACTCATTCAAGGGTTTTTCTTTATTTTTACTATTTTCTACATTGTAGAATAATAGTGAAGACATCAAAACTGTGAAATAACACTAATGGAATCATGTAGTAACCAAGAAAGTGTTAAACAAATCAAAATATATTTTATATTTGAGATTCATCAAATAGCCACCCTTTGTCTCAACCAGCTTCACCTGGAATGCTTTTCCAACAGTCTTGAAGGAGTTCCCACATATGCTGAGCACTTGTTGGCTGGTTCTCCTTCACTCTACGGTCCGACTCATCCCAAACCGTCTCAATTTGGTTGAGGTCGGGGGATTGTGGAAGCCAGGTCATCTGATGCAGCACTCCATCACTCTCTCCTTCTTGGTAAAATAGCCCTTACACAGTCTGGAGGTATGTTGGATCATTGTCCTGTTGAAAAACAAATGATGCTGCAGAATGCTGTAGTAGCCATGCTGGTTAAGTGTGCCTTGAACTCTAAATAAATCACAGACAGTGTCACCAGCAAAGCACCCCCACAACATAACACCACCTCCTCCATGCTTTACGGTGGGAAATACACATGCGGAGATCATCCGTTCACCCACACCGCGTCTCACAAAGACACAGCGGTTGGAACCAAAAATCTCCAATTTGGACTCCAGACCAAAGGACAAATTTCCACCGGTCTAATGTCCATTGCTTGTGTTTCTTGGCCCAAGCAAGTCTCTTCTTATTATTGATGTCCTTTAGTAGTGGTTTCTTTGCAGGAATTCGACCATGAAGGCCTGATTCACACAGTCTCCTCTGAACAGTTGATGTTGAGATGTGTCTGTTACTTGAACTCTGTGAAGCATTTATTTGGGCTGCAATTTCTGAGGCTGGTAACTCTAATGAATTTATCCACTGCAGCAGAGGTAACTCTGGGTCTTCCATTCCTGTGGCGGTCCTCATGAGAGCCAGTTTCATCATAGCGCTTGATGGTTTTTGCAACTGCACTTGAAGAAATGACATCATCAAATATTGTAAGAGCTTTCATTGTCTGCTTATATGCCCCCTTATTTATCCTTCGGTTCTGACTTGGTGTACAGTGAGAATACTATAAGAACGGCCCATGTTCGGAATTCTGTTACTGTACATTTCAAAAGTGCTGAACAAATAGTTATATTGACTACGTCCGTCTTAGCTCACTCATTAATGTCTTAATCTAAATTAAGCATTGCCTCTTATCTGCTCATCGTTCCCTTATGCCATAGTTTGTACATCTCAATTGTCAGTAGAAACGACATTTGTTTAAACAAGTCATATCGGCTATGTTTTTTTTAAAGGCAGTATATGAGGCTAAATGAACTGTTTCGCTGCCAGACAAGGCTATGCTGATAGCCAGGTGTAGTTGTGGTAAGGATTCTCTCCATGGTGCTGAAAAGAAAGCCCTGCTGTAGGGATAGCTTTATGTAGGCCCTAACAGTTTGTGGGCACCATTTGTCACCGTTATAGTGCAATTAATGTATTATTTAGTGTGTAGTGGCTTTGTTGGCATGCATCTAAAACAAAAACGTTGAGTTTGCCCCACCAAGATTTACATGCTAAAATTGCCAATGAGAGGCACACCGGGATATGCAACTTGATCTTATAACATACACTCACATTGGCCAACAGCCAGAGAAACGCTCATGCTCTCTGAATTGCAGATGTACAAGCATGGCATTTTTTTCTTTATTTTATTTGAAAGGACATCCGGAAATGGAGAGAGGGAGATACAAGGTTTAGAGGGGCATAGACTGAAGTGGCCGATACGAGGTGCTTGAACCCCCATCGAGACGGGGGCTTGTGTGGTCCGGAGTAGGGAGTGTTATCTGCTACTGTACCTCAGACTCCGGCATACAGTTTTGACATTTTTTGAAAGCTCATGACTTACCCACATTTCTAATGTATTCACCTCTGTGTGGTCATAGGAGAGACACCAACAATGTCCGTTACAGCAGAGAGATCATTTGGGCGGGTGAAAGAAGGGATTTTAATTAGCAAAATAGCTGTCATACTCTCTAGGGAATGAGACCCCCCCCCCCCACTCACCCCATTTCCCTGACTGCCCCCTCTTCTCTGTGATCAACCCTTTGTCTCTCACTTAGTTCTAGTCCACAGAGTTCATTGTATGGATTAAACTATGGCGTTATTAAGAATAACAAACCAGGGTGAGCGTATGTAGACGCAGCTCTGATCTGAAGGGGCAAATCCAGCAGAAATGCACAAAAGGAATCAGTAAGCTAATGCAATGGTAAACACTTGGGGTTACAGTATGGTTTAAAGATGCTAAGCAATTATGATCGGCCCCATTCAAGACAAAGGGAGGTCTACTTTTAGAATGGTGGCCTCCTGGCTCGGTATATGGTTCTTATTTACACTGGACTGTTCTAGGTTAGGGTTTGACCAGGGTTAAACACCAGGGCTCCTAAAGCAGGGTAGAGCTAGTCTTAGACTAAGGCTGTCTTGGCTCTTCCCTGAACATATACCACAGGCAAGCCCAGGGTCCCAATAAAGGGTCAACTACTAGACTGGTTATTCCTGGGGCCGTATTTATAATAGGTTCTTATGCACTAAGGGGACAATTAAGATGTAGGAATTTATGCCTTTCCTACGCACTTCTCAGTATTTGGTATTCAAACTTACCTTATTCAGTCACGTAACGCACTCTGCAGGTGTGGCGAACTTCCACGCTCTGAATACATTTCATTCAACTGCTGAAAACCCTCCCACTTGCTGGCCAGTTTTCATTCAATAGGGTTTTCAAAGAGGTGGATGTCCTGAAAGAGATTTGCAACAAGATGACAACAAACTCTAAGTCCACGCAAGATGACGTCAGCACTGTCTGTGAATCATTATTACAGATGACTGGGAAAACAGACTATCTAGAGAGACAATCCAGGAGGAATAACATTGTTGTGGATGGCATACCAGAGTCTTCACATGAGAACTGGGCCGTGTCTGAGGAGAAAATAAGACAAATTATCACTAGAAAGTGCGCCTACAGGTGGAGCGCGCCTACAGGTCTGGAA